ACACATACCTCAGCCTTCCAAAGTGCTGGAATTACAGGTGTGAGCCATTGCACCCGGCCCTATTCCATTTTCTATCAGGGACTTGAGCATCCATGGATTCTGGTATGGGGGGGCGGGGTCCTGGAGCCCATCCTCTGCAGATACCAAGGGATGATTATAATTACATCTATTACATATACATTTACTGTATAGTCACAAACCCCTTTTATTGATTTTGTTTTTGTAGCTCTCATTCCTCTTTAACACTATACATTTTTTCATCTACACATCTATTGTCTGTCCCCTTGCTAAAACATAAGCTCCATGAAGTCAGTGTCTTTGGCAATCTCATCCATTGTAACTTCAGCAAGTAGAGCAGTGCCTGGAACACAGTAGACATTCAAGGATATTTATGCAGCTCACAAACACTGAGAGATTTTCATATGTACAAGCTAAGAGTCATGAAAGTTCATCTTTCCATCCCTGCAGTAAGAGCTTGGTAAAGTGAGGCTTATCATTGCTTGGCAAAGCTGGTGGCAACTGACTGATACCCAGAAGCCCAAGTCAGTGGTTGGTGGAAAGTGGCCCATTTGAGTCTCACTTCCTCATGTCTCTCCGTGGGCACATGTTCAGACTCCCAATAAACCCATCAAGTTTACTGTGACTCTGCAGTGGTGTTTCATTGTTGGCTTATTTTCCTTTTTGTTTGCTAGTGATGGAGGTATAATAATTTTTAAAAAGCAATTTTTAAAAGCCATCCAGAATCCTAGCTAACTTTCTACTGCTCCATTTCTATATGTGATCTACTCGGTTTGCCTCTTTGTCTCTTCCTGGTGGCAGCTGACTGATACCCAGAAGCCCAAGTCAGGCAGGTGGGCTAGTTGTAGAACAGCCCTCCACTCAGGCCTCTCTGTCCTTCCAAAGAAGGGTTTGCTGGTTGGAGCAGATGTGAGAACTGGAGGCATCACTGGGGCCTTCTTTGATTCAGGAATAAGAATGCCATACCTTGCTGTTGGGGGCAGAAAGTAACATAATTCTTGCAGAGGAAAATTTGGCCCTAAAGATACAAAGGCAAAAATACAAAAAGACATATGCATATGGCTGCAATATTTTTAATAGCAAAGGGCTAGAAATAACCCAAATGTCAATCAGGAGTGACTGGCTGAATAAACAATGGTATGTTGTCATAATGGAGCATTTTGTAATGGAAAACATACTATATGGTTCTATGGAGTGAAATCCAGTATTTTTAGCAAAATAGAAGGGTCCAGGCAAGTGTGAAATAGCATGCTCTGATTTATCATTTGGTTATGTTGTTTAAATGGAAGGATAAAGGGGGAAATTTTGATTATAGAAGAAGGAGGAAACAGGGTGAAGGGAACTGATCAGAAGATAAACTTCTCTGAATACATTTTGTCTTGTAGATTTGACTTTGGAACCAGGTAAACGGTTCACATAATTAAAAAACAAAGTTAAAATTAAAAAACAATCTTTAAAAATTTCAGGAAAATGAAGGAGGTATAATCAGTAAATCTTGATTCTAGTTTGGAACATGCCACAGAGAGAGGAACCATTCGAAGTAACTTTACAACAACAAGTTGACTGTCTATCCCTAATAGTATAAATGTTGAGGACACAAAGAATTGCAGAAAAAAAATGATTTTAACTGTTTTTAGTTATCATATTTTTGTGTTAAGGTTGGCATTTTTCTTATAATAATTTTCTTAAATATGTAGTTATTTTGGTAATGTTTAGAAGGCGGTTTTCAGAATGAGAGAAGGAGAGCAGATAAAGGATCAATGAAGTTACATTAAAAATGAAAACAAGGCCAGACATGGGGGTTCATGCCTGTAATCCCAGCACTTTGGGAGGCTGAGGCGGGCAGACCACTTAAGAACAGGAGTTTGAGACCAGCCTGACATGGCAAAACCCTGTTTCTACTAAAAGCACAAACATTAGCTAGGTGTGGTAGTGCATGCCTGTAATCCTAGCTACTTGGGAGGCCGAGGCACGAGAATCACTTGAACCCAGAAGATAGAGGTTGCAGTGAGCCAAGATTGCACCACTGCACTCCAGCCGGGGCAACAGAGTTAGACTCTCTCTCAAAAACAAAACAACAACAACAACAACACTACAAAAAATAAACGTTTGCTGGGTATAATGGAGTGGACCTGTAGTTCCAGCTACTTGGGAAGCTGAGGTGGAAGGATCTCTTGTGCCCAGGAATTTGAGTTTGCAGTGAGCTATGATTGTACTACTGCACTCCATCCTGAGTGACAAAAAAGACCCTGCCTTTATGCCAATTCTCCCCTCAAAACAACAAAAACCCACAGTAGTCCTGAATTAAATTTGAAGTATCAGTATGAACTCATGTAGTGTTTTATCTTTAAAAAATACTGATAATACATATTTCCTAGCTCTAGCCACTAAAGCCAGGAAACAGTGACATAACCACTACCAATGAGCGTTCTGAGCACCCAGACCTTGATGTCTAATTACCATTCCCCACTAGAAGGAACCAAGGATTGTTGGGGTAAAACAGCTGATTTCAGGGCTGGGGCAGAAAATATACAAGATAAAAATCTTGTCATACAAGTTAATTAGGAAACTATCAAAGACTACTAGGGTCATGTCAAATGGAATCAGCCACCTTGAAGCAGCTGTCAAGGACCAAAGATAGAACAATTTGAGCAAAAACAAAGACAGTAACTATAATTACTATTAATACAGATGATAAAACACATAATAACATTAGGTATGTTTCAACCATGAGTTCATAATGTATTCAAAGAAGAAAACAACTCTCACAGGACATATTGGAAAGATGCCTGTGAACCACCTCATTTTGAAAACTGAAAAATAAAGGGAGGAAAGCCAAGAATCAGTCCTGCCTTTCTGATACAAACCAAATCTCAGGGTAACCAAATAACTGATGAGAGTAAGTTTCTCTTTACAAAGTATGTCAGCTAATAAAGAAAAAATCAATAGCACTAGAATATTAATTGCAACCCCTACAGAAGTAATGGATCTGTGCCATCAATGGGTGCTAACATCAGAAAAGAGAGGCAACCAGATATCATGCTCCTCCTACTGGAAGGATGTGTCACCACCAATAAAAGAGTCTTGCCAAAATAAATCTAACGTGAATCTGACTAACTCTCTAGAATTGTAAGAAATAGAGAAGACAGAGATGCACTCAGAAAAACTCATACTGTGAGAAATTATGCAGTATAAATGACCCAATATTTTGTCTTCCAACAAACCTCCAGATTATTCCAATATATGCTGACGTGTGAGACCCGCTGCTACAGATTTTAAAAAGACTTAAGAGGCATATCAATAAATTATGGTGCATAGACCTAATATAAGTAAACCAAAAAATAAACCACTCAGAGAAATTTCAACAATGACTGAATATTGAAAGCTATTAAGGAATTAATGTTTTAGATGTGAATGGTATTTTGGTTATCCCTTTTATAAGTTGTCTTTTAGAGATACATCCTAAAATATTTACAGGTGAAAGGATAGGATTGAATCTACTACAAAATCATTATGAGGTGGGGTGATAGTAGATGAAACAAGATTGGCCATGTGTTCATTATTGAAGCTACTGATTCAGACATGGGGTTCATTACACTGTTCCCTCTACTTTTGCATATGTTTGCAACTTTGCACAATAAAAAGTCTTAAAGCCCCTCCTTCAAGTACTATGAAACTATATTACCTGAAACGGGGTACAAATAAATACTGGTTAACTACTAGCTACTCCGACTTAGTACAGAGTGGAGCTCTGAAAAAATAAAAGAAAAAATTGATTCCATAGAGGAGAGTGAGGAGAGAGCATATAGAGAACAAGACACTCCACAAGGCGAAGTGCCCAGCCATCCGCAAAAGACCCATCATCCACATCATCCACAAGAAGTGCCCATCCATCCACAAAATACCCACCATCCACATCATCCACAAGAAGTGCCCAGCCATCATCATCCACATCCTAAGTAGTCAGCCATTCATACTTTGGTGCTGTCGGGTGTGTGATTTCATCAGTGGGAAGCAGGTTTGATGACGGCAGACCTTGGTGATGGAAACTATTGCTTTAAACTGCAGTGTTTGGCATCAAAGTCATCATCATATACCAGTTTAGGAGGCATCTTCTCTAAAGACTCTCCAAACACTCCTTACCTTCTGGGACATGAGAGGCTTGTTCCCCAACCCACCCCAGTCCCCAGCCCACAGCCGTGACATCTCCCATTCAGGAACCTGGCCAGGCCCTTGGACTCTTCCACCTGGTGCTGTGTATATGGGACCGGGTGGTATGCAGGCTTCTGGCCCAGCATAGCTACAATTAGAAACATAAGGCTGTGGATACCATGGATAATGTTTTAATAAAGTCTTGTAACTTTAGTTTGCTGGTCCTTTTTCTGTTGTTACACAGAGATCACAGCTGAGCCCATGGGAGAAGAAAAATTTCAAAAGCAACTCTTGACTGTGTCTCACTAGAAACCATCTTGATATAGGGCTTGATCATTGAACTAGTGACACACTTCTGGCTCCATCTCATACCAGAGCAAATAAAAAAAGCTTTAAATAAAATATGTGTGATGAAATCTCACCAGCAGCTTGACATGTAATTAGATAACAAAACTTTCTTACAGCTTCACTACCTCTTAAGTTTTAGCTTGAATGATCTTCCCCACTCTACTCCACACCCCACTCAGCTCTGGCCAATGTTTTCTCTCTTTGGTTACCTGGAGGGTGTCATCCTATGGTGAATTCATCAGAAACAAAAGGCCATGGAATCCATGGCAACTCAAGCATTTTCCTAAACTCTCCAATGCCAGATATTGTCCTTATCAATCTCCCATGTGGCCAAAACAAATTTATATCGTGGAACAGTTCCAAACATCACCTCTGTGCTCTCTTATTCATTTATTCCAGTGTAGCCAACCCAGACAGGAAGAGAGTCAGCATCCCCTCTTAGAAGGAAGTGGGCTGTCTCATGCTCAGGGAGAAGTCAGGCGTCCAGGAGGAGCAATCGCTTTTATTTCTTCAGTTATATTACCAGGTTATGTATTTGAGATATGATTTCTCAAAGGGGAAGTAACTCAGGCAGAATCCATGCTTTTAACAATGGGTCCTTGGTCTAGAAGGATCTGTGTGGGGTTTAAGGCCCTCCTGTGGCTCTGTGATGACAAGGCAGGCAGGCTGTCACAGAGGAAAAGGCAGATAAGAACAACTGCTGGGTCAGGGGAGAAGACGCCACTTCCTATGCCGCATGCGCAGAGGCATGACTAGACCCCGCCCCACCCCCGCATGACTAGAACCGCTTCATTTATAGCAAGTCTGGCTATGAAAATGCAGAAGGGCTGATAGCCATCTGACACACATTGCCAGCTTTTCTCTCCCCAGCCAGTTCAAACTCACAAGGCCATTTGAACAGCATTTTGGAAAGCTGCCCATCTCCTGAATAAAAAATTTTGAGAAAGTTAGAGTATCATCTAAGGGAAGGGCCTTAAAGCAGAACAAAAAATGTGCTGGCAGCAGTTTGAATTTTCTGGCTGCGCGTCTGTGCTATTCATGGGACACCGTGCAGCGTACCCAGGGTGCGCTGGCGAAAGGGCAGAACAGGCGGGAGGAGGAGACGTCCACGCAGTCAGTGCCCAAAGCTGAGTCTTCAGGGAAGAGAAACGAGGTCAGATCTCCTCACCCCGGTGCCCTTGTGTACCCTTAGAAGTCATAGGGGGATACAAAGATGGTGACCTTGGACACGTGGTTGGCCTGGAAGGAGCGGTCCAGGTATTCCGACATGTCGACATCCACCTCCAGGGTCTGAGGCCCCTCCAGGGTCTGCACGAGGATCAGCTCCCCAGTCTGCCGGTCTGAGCGCTGCATCACAAAGTGGCCGCGGCTGTTCCCACCCACAATCCCAAACCGCAGGCTGTTGGGCCCAGCTCGGCCGGGGGCAGAGGCCGTGGCCATGCGGAAGAGCGTGATGGGCGTCTTCAGGTTTGAAGGCAGAGAGAGGTAATGGAAGGAGATGGTCTTGGGCAGATGGTGGCAGGGTCTGCTGTCCATGGGGCAGGGGTTTCGCTCACACTGGCTGGAGCAGAGAGGCAAAACGGAGGCGGTCAGCCTTGTGGAGGTCTCACAAGGGGCTGCTCCGACCCGGCTGCCCACCTGCCTTCTTGCAGAGGCCACCTAGATGACCTTTCCTAGCCACGGGTCCCTCAACCAGGAGCTATGGAGCTGCAGGTGAGTGAATGTAGCTGGTGTTAGGCATGGCAAAGGAAGGGCTGCTGCTTCTGTTCCTGTTCATGGGCGCTCCCTGCACACCTGTGTATGTGTGTTTGTGTGTGTATATATATGTATTTATGCTATTACTATCATTTTTTTATAGAAAAGTAAAGCCTGGGAATATTAAATAATGATGGCAATGCTGATACTCAAACCAGGGGCCCTTTCTCCCTGTGCTGTGATCTTGCTCAGTAATAGTAGGACCTCAGCAGTTAGCCAGCAACATCCTCTAATGCGGTGCTTCCCACAAGGTGCATGGTGAACTTCCTAAACACAGCAGTGTGTATTTTATGTTATGTTTAGACAGAGTCTCACTCTGTCACTCAGCTACAGTGGAGTGATGTTGGCTCTCTGCAACCTCCAGCTGTCAGGTTCAAGTGATTCTCCTGCCTCAGCCTCCTGGGTAGCTGCGATTACAGGTGCCTGCCACCACGCCCAGCTAATTTTTGTATTTTTAGTAGAGACGGGGGTTTCACCATGTTGGCCAGGCTGGTCTTGATCTCTTGACCTCAAGTGATCTGCCTGCTTTGGCCTCCCAAAGTGCTGGGATTATAGGTATGAGCCGCTGTGCCCGGCCCACAATGTGTATTCTTATAGTAGGAGGCCCTGTTTGTCTTAATCATTTGGAAACAGGGTCTTGTGGAAATGCTTTCAATATTTCTCTATCCTTTCAAACATAAAAGACAAATGCAATCTAGTATATTAGGTGATTCTGTAACATCATGATTTTGCAGGTCAAATATCACATCCAGCTATTGGTTGAATGCCCCAGAGGCCATAATAGAGTGGTTCCCCATCCTTTCACTGGGTGACTTCATGAGGAAGGTTCTAACGTCTTCACTCTCTCTAAAAACTGCCATGCTTCAGTGCCACTAACTCTCTTGCTTCTAATCCTCTTTAACTCAACAGCAATTCAAATAATTAAGCGTATGAAGTAATCATCTTCATTTTAAAGACAATGTTAGGTCTTTTATGATCTCTTTTTGAGAGGAAAATATATGTGCTTTGTGATAGTTGTAGTTGTTCCCCTTAAAGGCCCATCTCCCAACTTAAACAAACAAACAAAAAAGCTCTACTTGCTGTTTAAGAGCCACAGTTATGGGCCAGGCATGATGGCTCATGGTTGTAATCCCAGTACTTTGGGAGGCTGAGGTGGGTATATTACCTGAGGTTAGGAGGTAGAGACCAGCCTGGCCAACATGGGGAAACCCAGTCTGTACTAAAAATACAAAATTTAGCTGGGCATGGCAGCACGTGCCTATAATCCCAGCTACTTGGGAGGCTGAGACAGGAGATTTGCTTGAACTCAGGAGGCAGAGGTTGCAGTGAACTGAGATCATACCACTCCACTCCAGTCTGGGCCACTGAGCAAGACTCTGTCTCAAACAAAACAAAAGAAAACAAAAAACACAAGAGTTGAAGTTACTAGACATAGAACCTTCTAGTACTATTGGAAAAGCAGAGTGATATAATGCAGGGTGCACAGGCTATGCAGTGTAACTCAAGGGAGTCAATAGTTCCTGGCTATGTGAATGCTGTCACCTCCCAAATCCATGTGATCTATACCTGTCTCCCGGGCTGCTATGGGTTTATCAGGAGAAGGTCACAACAGTTTCTTCCCTCCAGTGGCCTGCCCCGGCTGTGCCATCTTGGGGTGGCTGCAACCCCCATTATCCTCTATGTGGTAGGGGAGCACTTAGTACCTTACTCCCATGGGGAATTGGGTTCTTATTTCTCCAGGGCAGCAATGCATTAGATGCAACCACTAAAGGAAAATGGAAACTCAGAGAAGCCAGCCTCCCAGCCTCCTGCCTCTCATCTTTCTATGGCATAACTGTACCTTCTCCTGACAGCTTCTAGGAAGCATCCGGACCAGCCACACTTGGAGGCCCGAGTGAGGGTGTGCATGCCTTGGCAGTACTCACAATGGAGACGTCTTCACGTAGCTCACATTGCCACTGCCCTCGGGGCACTCGGGGCTGACACACTGGAAGCCTCCACCGGTGTTGATGCACGTGGTCCCCCGGGGGCACACTGGCTGCAGGCCCGCACATTCATCTACATCTGAGATACGGGACATACAATGGGTGAGAATCTCCTTGACTTTTCCTCCATTTAAGACAGAACCACTCGAGAGGCCTGCAGTCGCTGTAATGCAGTGCTCCCTGCTCCTGGCACTTATTCTTAAAGCAGGAAGCCTGCCTTCCTTAACTGTGTGGAATCAAGGCCCGAGGAAATGCCGGCGGTTGCCCCTCCCTGGGATCCTGTGCTCCTTCACTGGGGTATGGCAGGTCGCAGCGGTGGTGGAAAGTACCAGGGGAGTGTTACTGGTCACAACACTTCTCTCAGACCCGTCTGCTTCTCAGCCCACCTGCCCCATTACCCTCCATGGCCATTATTTTTCCTCTGTCTATCTATCTATCTATCTATCTATCATCTATCTATCTATCTATCTATCTATCTATCTATCTATCTATCTATCTATCTATCTATCTATCTATTATCTATCTATCTATCTATGTATCTTTTTTAAATTAGAATCTTTTAGAAAGTCTTCCAATCAACCTCACCCCATGCCTAGTGCAGACACCTTAATGCCATCATTTGTATGAGTTCTCTGCTCCCTTTACATCCAGAGAGTCTCTGCAGCTGGAGGCCGTCCTTCTCAACCCTAAGCACCCCTAGGTGGGCCTTCATGAGCACTGTGGAAGGGAGGGAGTGTGGGTGGCAATCTGGATGCCTTCTTGGGCTCCAGCTCCAGGTCACCTACTCCTCAGAGCCCTGCAGCGGGGCCCCAGTGGGATGTCACTGGGGAGCCACCCCTCCCCTCACATTCCTGAGTCAGCCCATGGAGAAGCCCTCTGCCCTCTCTCCTCCTGTTCTCCCTCAGTGGGTCAGAGCTGTTGCCTGAAGCCAGCAGGGCTCCCCTCTCTGTCGTGTTTCCATGGGGGTGGTCCAGCTGAGGAGGTGGGCCTGTCCCCTTCCTCATGTGAGCTATGCCTGCAGGAGCAGACCCAGTCCCCCAAAGGCCCACTGCAGCATGGGGATTCGAGGGCCAAGGGTCAGGATGATCCCACTTGGCCTTCAGGCCTGAGGTGTGGGTTCTGACTCAGCCCATGTGGAAAGTCAGCGTGTCTACAGCAATTGACATCTGTATTTTTCCTAAGTGGAGGTGGGGTGACAGGAGGCCTCCTGTTAGGCACCTGGTGTCCCTGGGACTTGGACTTGTCCTGTGGTGATGCCGGTGACCGCTTTGAGGGCTCTCAGCCTCTCTGTTCTACAACCAACCCACTCTGCACACATCCTTCCTGCCCTCTTAGGTGCCCCCTGCCCCTGCTGTAGACACTCCTTGTCAGCTAAAGATGTTCTTTCCCACTCTGCCAGGAATCAGCCTCAGAAACCTCAACCCAGTTCTCCAGGAGGCCACTGGTGATGGACAGGATTTGGCACTGGGGTGAAACCTGAGCCAGTTATTTTCCATCTGCACCCCTGTTCCCCAACCCACTCTGCACCTGAGAGGCTGACTGATTTTCAGCTGGGGTTGGGAAATGACAGTGACCCAGCCTGAGGAGTCCTGACCTGCCTGGATGTGGTTCTGGTGGTGGCTGTGTCCTTTACGGCCACAATCTGTCATTCTCTGATAAGCCCCCTCACTCCCTACACCCCTCAAGCCCAGGGGTAGTAATGCCCCGACTCTTGGCCCCCCCCTGGGTACTCTGTCTCCCTTGTTGTCCTCAGCTATCATCAAACAAGTCTGGTGCTATAGAGCTCGACCTCGCTAAGACATAAGTGCTTGTAAGGTGCTGCTCCTTTCAGAGGTGGACTTACAGGTCCATGGGAGCCTCATGGGTTCCTCCAGATTACATGACATGGATGACCACCTGGCCAGTCTACCTTTAGGTCCAGCCCTAGCCGAAGGCATTGTTGAGTGGGTGGAAGTGACCAGATCTTGAAAAAAAAAAAAATCCCAGTTACTCAAATAAAGTCCGAAAAGACTAGTTGCCAGGATGGTTAAGGAACTCATTTTCCTATTTATGTAGATGACGACGTGGCCTGATCTTTGAGAAGCCCTTTGGTTGGTGGCTTTTTAAAAATTGAAAGTGTCTGAAACTGTGACTCTGCCAACCACCTTACTCCTGATTGTGAGGTCATGGGGGTTCACCACAGCAGCAGGTAGCCGGGTGCAGATGGCACTCTCTCTAGCCTCACTCACCCTCACAGCTCTTCCCGTCCGCCAGGGTTCGGTATCCGCTGGGGCAGGTGCAGCGGTAAGAGCCCGGGGTGTTCACGCAGGCGTGCATGCAGAGCCGGGGCCGCCCCTCCTGCCCGTAGAGCTCACACTCGTTCACATCTGCGGACAGAAGTGCTCACTGTGACTCCAGGAGCCATGCAGCAGGTGTTGCCAGCTGCGACCCAGAACCCAGAACAGTCGTGCCTCGGTTCCTGGAGGCAATGGCAGCTGCAGTTAAGTGGCTGGGCCTCAGGCAGCCATCATGCCCTACCCGCAGCAGAGCACTCTCGAGAGGAGCAGGTGTGCCTTCCTTTCTCCTAACCCGAGGGCCCAGAGGGCGAAAAGGAGGAGTGGCAGGGAGCTGACGTGCTAGACCCTAGAAAGGCATCTCTGTCTTAGGCTGAAGACACCTGGGGAGACCCTGCAGAAGCTGGCCAATCAAGCCTATTCCCAGAAAGTAGGGAGGGATTAACAGCCCCATGTTAACTCTTTATCTTTGGGAATGGAATAAGAGGGTCTCCTTTCTGCTGCTGTAAAATGAGGCTATTAGCACCAACTGACCAGATCTCAGAATTGAACTCCTGCTTTGCATTGTTTGGGGAGAGAACTCTGGTAATCAGGAGAGGGCAGCAAAACTGAGCGGTCAGGAAAGCTAAGCCCAGAGGGGACCAAGGAATGATTCCCACTCTCCTGCTCAGCTCTGGGCCCTCGCTACTAACAAAGTGCTTTAAGCTCCTATGATTCCAGCCAGGACGGAGGGGATGGAGGGGCTCAAGGCTCTCCTGAACCAAGCACGTGTGGGTTGGACATAGGCTAGACCAGTTTCTGAGGTGGGGCGAGCTCTGATTTCTATGAATTAGCTGCATTCTAGCAATTATCATCAACACTTACCTGTAATGCAAAGTGGCCAGGCCTTCTGAGACGGCGCCCCGGAAGCCACCCGTGCAGGGTGCGTCCGTGCAGGCAGGAGGGCGGTGGGTGAGAGCCCCTTCACCGCCCCATGTCCTCCCCCTGCGGTCCCCAGTGTCCTGGCGGAGCCCGAGCCTACCCTCGCAGACGCTGTCGCCGGCGGCGCCGCTCAATTGGAATCCGGCTTCGCAGCTGCAGTGCTGAGCCCGCTCCACCTGAGCACAGCGCGGCGCGCGGCTGAAGGCAGAGTCTCCGGCCACGCTGCCCTCGGGGGCGGCTGCGGGGAGAAGACACACTCAGTGCCGGACCCTGGCGCACCTGCCGTCAGCCCAACCTTGGGTAGGGGCCGGGAGCAGAACCCAGACGGGGGCACAGCTCCTTCTCAAAGAGCTTACTCTGGAGTAGGGAAAGGAAAGACAAGTAATTAACCATGAAGCCCGCCGACCGGTCCAGGGCCCACTCAAAGGGAGCACAGGACAGCAAGTGCACTGGAACAGAATGGTGCATAAAAACGCAGGCCACCAAGCTGCACCTCAGAAGGATCGCTAGGCCAAGTCTACATTTTCACTTAAAAAGACTTGAACACCCCAAAATTCTAACAGTGATCAAAAGAGAGTTTAAAACCGTGGGCCACTATTTTTTATTTCTTTTGGTGTGTGTGTATTTTTTTTAAAATTTTTTATTGGATTTTAGGTTTTGGGGTACATGAGCAGAGCATGCAAGACAGTTGCGTAGGTACACACATGGCAGTGTGCTTTGCTTTCCTTTTCCCCTTCACCCACATTTGGCATTTCTCCCCAGGCTATCCCTCCCCACCTCCCCCTCCCACTGGCCCTCCCCTTTTCCCCCCTATAGACCCCAGTGTTTAGTACTCCCCTTTCTGTGTCCCTGTGTTCTCATTTTTCATCACCCGCCTATGAGTGAGAATATGCGGTTTCAATTTTAAATTTTAGGTTTGAGGACCTTCAACATGTGAAGGTTTGTTACACAGATAAACACGTATCACAGGGGATTGTTGTACACATCATCCAGCTATTAAGCTCAGTAGCTGATAATTACCTTTTCTGCTCCTCTCCCTCCTCCCCCATTCTCCCTCAAGTAGACCTCAGTGTGTTGTTTGCTTCTTTGTGTTCGGAAGATCTTATAATTTAGCTCCCACTTATAAGTTAGAACATGCGGTATTTGGTTTTCTGTTCCTCTGTTAGTTTGCTAAGGATGGTAGCCTCCAGCTCCAACCATATTCCCACAAAGGACATGATCCCATTCTTTTTTATGGCTGCATAATATTCCATGGTGTATATGTACCACATTTTCTTTATCCAGTCTGTCATTGACTGGCATTTAGGTTGGTTCCATGTCTTTGCTATTGTGAACAGTGCTGCAACGAATATTCGAGTGCACCTGTCTTTATGGTAGAATGCTTTATATTGCTCTGGATATATACCCAGTAATAGGTTTTCTGGGTCAAGTGCTAGTTCTGCTTTTAGCTTTTTGAGGAATCACCAAACTGCTTTCTAAAATGGTTGAACTAATTTACACTCCCACCAACAGTGTAAGGGTTCCCTTTTCTCTGCAACTTCCCCAGGATCTGTTACTTTCTGACTTTTTAATAGTAGTCATTATGACTGGTGTGAGATGGTATCTCATTGTGGTTTCAATTTGCATTTCTTTAATGATCAGTGATATGGAACTTTTTTCTCATATGCTTGTTGGCTGCATGTCTGTCTTCTTTTGAGAAGTGTCTGTTCATGTATGTTGCCCACTTTTTAATGGGGTTGTTTTTCTCTTGTAAATCTAAGTTTCTTATAGATGCTGGATATTAGACATTTGTCAGATGCATAGCTTGCAAATATTTCCCCCTATTCTATACATTATTTGTTTACTCCTTTGATAATTTCTTTTGCTGTGCAGAAGCTCTTAAGTTTAATTAGATCCCATTTGTCAAGTTTTGCTTTTGTTGCAATTGCTTTTGGTGTCTTTTTTTTTTTTTTTTTTGGTGGGGAGTGTCTTGACATCTTTGCCCATTCCTATGTCCAGTATGGTATTGCCTATGTTGTCTTCCAGGACTTTTATAGTTTTGGGTTTTACATTTAACTCTTTAATCTATCTTGAGTTGATTTTTCTCTATGGTGTAAGAAGTGCTCCAGTCTTCTGCATATGGCTAGCCAGTTATCTCAGCACCATTTATTGAATAGGAGTCTTTTCCCCATTCTTGTTGTTGTCAGCTTTGTTAAAGATCACATGGTTATAGATGTATGGCCTTATTTCTGGGCTCTCCATTCCGTTTTATTGGTCTATGTGCCTGTTTTTGTATCAGTACCATGCTGTTTTGGTCACTGTAGGCTTGTGGTATAGTTTGAAGTTAGGTAATGTAATTCCTCCAGCTTTTTTCTTTTTGCTTAGGATTACCTTGGCTATCAGGTTTTTTGTTGTTGTTCCATATACATGTTTAAATAACTTTTTCTAGTTCTGTGAAGAATGTCTTTGATAGTTAGATAGGAATAACATTGAATCTATAAATTATTTTGGGCAGCATAGCCATTTTAATGATATTGAGTCTTCATATCCATAAGCATTGAATGTTTTTTCATTTGTCTGTATCTTCTCTGATTTTTTTGAACTGTGTTTTGTAATTCTCACTGTAGAGATCTTTCACATCCCTGGTTAGCTGTATTCCTAGGTATTTTATTTTTGTGTGTGGCAATTGTGAATCAGATTGCCTTTCTGATTTGGCTCTCGATTTGGTTGTTGATGGTATTTGTGTTCTGCAACTTTGCTGAAGTCGTTTATCAGCTGAAGGAGCGTTTGGGCTGAGACTATGGGATTTCCTAGATATAGAATCATGTCGTCTGCAAGCAGAGATAATTTGACTTCCTCTCTTCCTATCTGGATGCCCTTTATTTCTTTCTCTTACCTGATTGATCTTACCAGGACTTCCAATACTATGTTGAATAGAAATGGTGAGAGAGGGCATCTCTGTCTTGTGGTGGTTTTCAAGGGGAATGCTTCCAGCTTTTGCCCATTCAGTATGATGTTGCTTGTGTGTTTGTCATAGATGAATCTTATTATTTTGAGATCTGTTCCTTCAATACCTAGTTTGTTGAGCGTTTTTAACATGAAGGGATGTTGAATTTTATCAAAAGCCTTTTTGCATCTATTGAGATAATCATGTGGTTTTGCCTTCAGTTCTGTTTATGTGATTCATCACATTTATTGATTTTTGTATGTTGAATCAACCTTGTATCTCTGGGAAAAAGCCTACTTGATCATAGTGGATTAGCTTTTTGATGTGCTGCTGGATTTGGTTTGTAAGTATTTTGTTAAGAATTTTTATATCAATGTTCATCAAGGATATTGGTCTGAAATTTCCTTTTTTTGTTGCTTCTCTGCTAGGTTTTCTTATTGAGATTGCTGGCCTCATAGAATGAGTTGGGGAGAAGTCCCTCCTCCTCAATTTTTTGGAATAGTTTTTGTAGAAATAGTACCAGCTCTTCTTTGTACATCTGGTAGAATTAGGCTGTGGATCCATCAGGTCCTGGGCATTTTTTGATTGGTAGGCTATTTATGACCAATTCAATTTCAGAGCTCATTATTGGCCTGTTCATAGATCATTATTTTTTGTTCTTTTTTTTTTTGTATTGTACTTTTCTAAAGTATTCACATTTTTTGTTTTTACCAAGAACATAAATTTCCTTCCTTCCTTCCTTCCTTCCTTCCTTCCTTCCTTCCTTCCTTCCTTCCTTCCTTCCTTCCTTCCTTCTTTCCTCTCTCTCTCTCTCTCTCTCTCTCTCTCTCTCTGTCTTTCTTGAGACCAAGTCTTACTGTGTCGCCCAGGCTGGAGTGCAGTGGTACAATCTCGGCTCACTGAAACCTCTGTCTCCCAGGTTCAAGCAACTCTCCTGCCTCAGCCTCCTGAGTAGCTGAGATTATAGGTGTGCATCACCACCCTGCTAATTTTTTTTGTATATTTAGTAAAGACGGGTTTCACCATGTTGGCCAGGCTGGTCTCAAACTCCTGACCTCAAATAATCCGTCCAGCCTCCCAAAATACTGGGATTACAGGCATGAGTCACTGTGCCTGGCCAAATTACATTTCTAATCAGGAAAATGTTATTTTTCTGAAAGTTTGTCAAGTATTTAGAGCTCTCATATGTTGAGAGATTAAAGAGGAATCGGTGGGAATCAAACACAAGGGGACAAACCCTGCATGATTCTACTTAGATGAGGTCCCTAGAGTAGTCAGACTGATCGAGACAAAAAGAAGAATGAATGGTGATTACCAGGGGCTGTGGGAGGGCAATGGGGAGTTGTACTGTTATGGGTACAGAAGTTCAGTTTTGCAAGACAAAAAGAATTCTGGAGCTGGATGGTGGTGATGGTTGCACAACGTGAGTGTGATTAGTGCCACTGAGCTATACAGTTAAAAATGATTAAAATGGTAAATTTTATGTTATGTATATTTTATCACAATAAAAAATATGGTGAATTGATTTTTTAAAAAGGAATTGGAGGGATGCTCCTCCTGGGAGCCAGAAAGACACGGGCCAGCTAATGGGAAGGACTGTCAGGCTGGGGGACCAGGCGAGCAAGAGCCCAGGTGTGTGTTTGCTGTTCATGGAGACTGTGAGGATAGGAGCTGGCTTTGGATGTGCCTGCTTGCTTCCCCACCTTCCCATTCCTGGGGAAGATTCTGGTCATGGGGACACTTTATAACAGGCCTCCCTGGACCTAAGCAACAATTGTCTAAAGATCCCTGGGCGGGTATGGTGGCTGACGCCTGTAATCCCAGCACTTTGGGAGGGTGAGGTAGGCAGACCACTTGAGGTCAGGAGTTTGAGACCAGCCTGGCCAACATGGTGAAACCCTGTCTCTACGAAAAATACAAAAATTAGCTAGGAATGGTGGTGAACACCTGTAATCCCAGCTACTTGGGAGGCTGAGGCAGGATAATCACTTGAACCTGGGAGCAGAGGTTGTAGTGAGCTGAGATGGTGCTACTGTACTCCAGCCTGGGCAACAGAGACTCCATTTCAAAAAAAAAAATATCCCACAGTTGGAGAAAACCCTAAAGGGTGGGGTTTAGAACATTCAGTGACAAGGACTGGCATATTTAGGGAAAAAGGGAACCCATTTCTTTTTCCCTCTTGTTTGTAAACAACGGGAGAGACAGTGAGGTATCCAAGAAACCCAGTCTCTGGCCTCAGTTTCCATAGAAAGCAGTCCCAGGGACAGGAGCTGTAAGGGGCTCTGAGCTCAGGAGGACAGCCTCATTCTGAGAAAATGCTCAGCTGGCTGACTCAGCTGAACTGAATCAAATTAAGGCAAATTAAGCAGCAACTCTCTTGGGGCACTATTTAAATCTGACCTTGGGCCAGGTCCAATGCCAGGATCTCAAGTATTGATAAAGATCATATCCTTGGACACTGCACTAGCCCCAATGCCCCTTCCCACCACAGATATTTCATACAGAAGTAAAGACAAACAGACGTAACACACCAGACTTTTCTAGCAAAGGAATAGGACATCTTTGGGGCTGAACGAAATCTTGGTGGCAACATGAGTGGGAACCCCTGTCCATCTGTCACAGATTCCTTATCATTGGATTTTTTTTGCCATATGCAAACCCAGCCACTGTGTGACTCCTTAGACCCTCTAGGAGGAGAGATGTTGGGATTCGAGATGTGAATAATAATCATCTCAAAACCAGTCAAATGTATAGTTATCCAGCTCTCAAAATACTGCATCAATAGCTGCTAGTTTTGCAGGACGTGATGTGAACACTGGAAAGAAAAGGTGGTTCTGCTGGCTGAAGAAATGCCAACCAGGCGAAGGTGGCAACAATGAAACTTCTCAGGCCACGTTCCCAATCTAGGGGATTTTTAGGTTGGGAGTCAGTTCTTGCACTTGTTTTCTACTATAAGAAGAATCATGCCGGAAGTGGTGGCTCATGCCTGTAATCTCAACACTTTGGGAGGCCAAGGTGGGCAGATCAGGAGGTCAGGAGATCGAGACCATCCTGGCTAACACGGTGAAACCCTGATTCTACTAAAAATACAGAAAATTAGCCAGGTATGGTGGCACGTGCCTGTAATCCCAGCTACTCAGGAGACTGAGGTAGGAGAACTTGAACCCGAGAGGTGGAGGTTGCAGTGAGCCAAGATTGCGCCACTGCACTACTTCAACCTGGGTGACAGAGTGAGACTCCGTCTCAAAAAAAAAAAAAAGGATCAAAACTCTGGTTGCATCAAAGCGCTAAGCTCTGTCAAGTGACCACCTTAGAAAACCAGAGGTATCAATGGATGTGAAACAGAGAGGAAAAGCTACATCTCTGAGACGGGGACTGAGCACCCTACACGTCTGCATTTGGTGATCTATGCCTAGGGTCCTCCTCTCCCCACAGCACGATGTCCTCACCTAACCCCATGGTGGCTACGTACCAGTCTGGGCCTGATGCTGACAGCGGTTCCCAGTCCTTCCTGAGGGACAAATGCATCTGTACTGGCTGACTCCTTCTACACATGTTCCACCATTTTGACAAGGCTGGCTGGAGCATTCGCTGATATCTAGGAAAATAAATAATTTTCAAATATAAGGATGTGAGTTCTAGGTCTAAAACAAATAAAATAAAAAACTGATGAAGGGTTAACTTCCTTTACATTGTAGAGTGACTCCCATTTTCTACCTGACCTCACCTACTCTTTCCACCCTCTCCACCAGCAAGAGCTGCCAGAGGGCTGATATACAGTCATTGCATTTCCGTTCATCAGCAGGCCTGGCACCCAGGCACACACTGCCCACCTGGGCCTCTGAGTGCAAACCCTCTCCTCCATCAGCCAGCACCTGGGAGAAACACTTTTAAACAGGAATGAAATTCAGTGCAGTTATAAAGGGGAGGGGTGGCCCACTGGAATGTCCTGGGTTGGGGAAAACAAATTCTCCAAATTCCCACCCAGAAGCCCTCCTGTGCTTGACCAGGTAAGAGGTTTGTTTGACATCTCCTTCATGTTGGTAAAGGGAGCTGTTCCTTGCTCATCTACACATTCTGTGGAAAAGGTCTATGTAGAGAGAGATTGTTATCTTAAAAAGCTGAATAGATTTTTTTTTCTCTAAGTGGTAGGGTTACAGGCGATTTTTATTTGCTTGTTTATACTTTTTTGTATTCTTCCATTTTCCCATAATAACCATGCATACATTTTTTAATTAGAAAAAAATGATCCTCTTAAACCCACAGGCCACATGTTAACTGGGCATGGTGGCGTGTGCCTATGTCCTAGCTACTTGGGAAACTGAGGTGGGAGAATTGCTTGAACCTGGGAGGCAGAGGTTGCAGTGAGCAGAGATTGCGCCACTATACTCCAGCCTGGGTGACAGAACAAGACTCCATCTCAAAAACAAAAACAAATCAAGCCAACCAAACAAATATACACCCAAAAAACCCAGGCCACATGAGCTTGTTATGAATTCCTCAAGCCCAGTTTTAGTGCATAGAAACAGACCATTTCCACCAGAGAGAGGTTTGTCAGTTCCCTGACTTGACCACATCATCTTCGGAAAGAAAACTGAAAACACCTCCTTGTTGGCATAAAAGCAGCCTTTCCTGCTGTGTCTATCAAGAGAAAGAAACAAGTGCTTTGTTCCTAATGAGAATGACAGGCTTGTTTTGGGTGGACTGGGAGGGTCTCAGGCTTCCCTTAAGCCTCCTGGAGATTGGAACGTCATTAAACTCTTACACAGTTTCTGATTGCTGCAAAATGACTCAGAACGCCGAATGCTGCTCATCCCTAGAGAAGGAGCCATTTCTGTTTCTCAGTAACCTCAGCCCGGTTGCACTGTCCCTCATACATTCTGTTTGCAGATGACTGGTTTCCAGGAATGCATCTGAAATGACTGTGCACAAATGCCATAGAGCTTGGGGTTCCTGTTTCTATCCATTGTTCAGCTCCATCTTTGCTCACCAGTGTAGTCTGGTGAAGTGGGCAGATCACTAGGCTGTGAAGTTGCGGGCAGAGAGCCAGAAAATGTGAACACCAGTATCATGTAGCTTGGCCCCACTGGGGCCAACACCGTGGTCTCTCCTTTTGCTGGCCACCGGAAGAAGGCACTGAGCCTGACCTGTACCTGGACCATGTGGGTGGGGGTTAGGCATCATCGGCGCTGTAGAGAAACCCACAGGTGTCTCAGGACTGTGCACTCTGGCTCCCTCTCTGGATCCACCCAGCGCATTCATTTCTAGATAGGCTGCATTCAGACTCTCTCTCTCTCTCTCTCTCTCTCTCTCTCTCTCTTTTTGAGATGGAGTCTTGCTCTGTCGCCAGGCTGGAGTGCAGTGGTGCTATCTCGGCTCTTACATTGATATGCAGTCAGAGGCATCCAGTGGCCTGATGTCCAGCCTGGCAGCCCCTCTGTGTCTGGATTGAAGTACAGTTGTCATCACACCCATATGTGTCCCAGGCTGTGGCATTCAGTCAAGTGCATGGCAGATGCTGGCAATCCAAAACCCAGATGATAATCCCGCTTTCAGCTGCTGTTTCATGAGCACTTACTGTTTTCATGAAACCTAGCTAACTATTTTATATGTGTGACTGAAATTTTTTCTTTTATTTCTAATTCCTTCCTGGGTTCTGTCAACTTATTTCCAGTTTTTCATTTTTCCAATCACCTCAGTTTTGAGTGTTTTCTCATTTTTATCTAAATTGTTCTTTCCTTGCTTTTATCTTTTAAACAGCTCTTTCAGCTCATGATACTCCAGATGAGTTTTTATCTGTTTCATGGGCATGTCTTTCCGGCATTTCTTTATTATCTATAGAAATTGTATTCTCTTTTTTCTTATAATAATTTCTATGGGATTTGTCAAGAGTCCTTTTCATTACTCATAATTAAGTGAAATAAGCTTTCCCATATAGCTTTGCTAACTTCATGAGTCTGAAATTCTCATTTCTGTTGTTTTTCCACTGTGAGCAAACACAGGGCTTCGCACTTTCTAAGCTCTGCCTCCTTTGCATTTTTGTCTGGATGACCATCTCTTTCATTTGCACCTATTTTCCTTATTGTGCCCAGTTTGGACCCTCCTTCCCTTAAAGTCTCCTTAATATTAAGACTTTGCCCTGGAAAATTTTGGAGGTTCCTATGGGGCAGGCTGTTCCAGCAACTGAAACTTCCTATTGATAAGGGGGACTTAGGGCTGGGTGTGGTGGCTCATGCCTGTAATCCCAGCACTTTGGGAGGTCAAGGTGGATGGATCACCTGAGATCAGGAGTTCAAGACCAGACTGGCCAACATGGAGAAACTCCATCTTTACAAAAAACACAAAAAATTAGCCAGGCATGGTGATGGGCGCCTGTAATCCCAGCTACACAGGAGGCTGAGGCAGGAGAATTGCTTGAACCCAGGAGGCAGAGGTTGCAGTGAGCTGAGACTGTGCCACTGTACTCCAGCCTGGGTATGGGTGACAGAGTGCAACTCTGTTAAAAAAAAGAAAAAGAAAAGGTGAACTCCATACCTGAGAAAACTGACCCAGAAAGGCAGGCACTGAGACAGATCCTAACCAAATGGCTCAATTTTAAAGAAAAAATATATTTTGGGGGCTTTCAGGCAGAAAGACCAATATAATAGCACAACAGCATCAGTTTAAAACAGAAAACACAGAGTGACATATTTAAAACACTCAAGAAAAGAAAAATGTGAGATAGGTATTTTATATCCAATGAAACTAACATTCAGTAAAAAAAGCAGCACACTTTTTGAAAGTGGTAGTACTCAGGGACTTGCTATAACTACAGACATCAGGATGAGAATGGCAGTGACACTTGCCGAGGCAGAAGAGACAATATCAACCAATTCTAACTTATGGGACTGATTTGGACGCTGATTCAAACAAAGTGTTTAAAAACTGTGAGACAACTAGGGGAATTTGTACTCTAATTAGATATTGCTGATATTAAGGAATCTGCTGTGCTAATCACTGGATTTTAGGTACATAAGGTCATTCAACTATTCTCTGTAGTTTTGTGTGTTTGAAACTTTCCATAGTGAGAAAATGTTTTAAGATGCTAAACTTGGCATTATTTGTAATCATGAAAACCTTGAAACAATAGAGGGATCATTCAATAAAGCCTAGAACAGCCCTTTCAAAGAAGTGCTTCCTAATCATGAAGAGTTATGTTTAGAAAGAAGAGGGGCACGATCCAAGATGGCCGATTGCTAACATCTCGGGATTGCAGCTCTCAGTCAAAGCACAGAGAACTAGAGGATGCCACACTTTCAGACAAATTCTGGTCGCTCACGGAGCAGAAGATCCCCAGTGGAGGAGTTACATGGGCTGCCAGCGCGACTCTTGTGGCTGGCTCAGCGGTTTCGCCGGCACCTCGGCGCGGCAGCTCTCAGAGCAGAGTAAACAGGGCTGGCTCCCCTTCTGACCGAGGTTTGGAGGACCCACACGGGCCCCCAGCACGACTCCTGAGGCCGGCGCAGTGGCTGTGACGGCACCTCGGCGTGGCAGCTCTCGGGGCGGCAGCTCTCGGTGCAGAGTAAACGAGACTGGTTCCCCTTCTGACCGAGGTTTGGAGCCCCGGGAAGGCAGAGTCGCCTATTACGGACACAAGAAGGAAGCCAGACAGGAGAATCCTGGGCAGAAAAGCACCATCAGTCTTAACGCCGCTGTTCTGGCCCTGGGAACTAAGAACTTGGACGTCCACTCAAGAGACCTAATCTGAAAGTTGGTAATTTCAGAGACGACAGGAGGATAAATTTACAATCATGGGAAGAAACCAGCGTAAAAAGGCTGAGAATACTCAAAATCAGAACGCCTCTCCCTCTAAAGATGATCACAGTTCCACATCAACAATGGAACAAGGCTTGATGAAGAACAAGCGCATCCCAATAACAGAATCACGCTTCAGGGAATGGATAATAAGAAACTTCTGTGAGTTAAAAGAACATGTTGTAGCCCAACGTAAAGAAACTAGGAACTTTGAAAAAAGGTTTGATGAAATCCTATTGAGAATAGACAACTTAGAGAGGAATATAAGTGAATTAATGGAACTGAAGAATATAATACAGGAACTCCGAGAAGTATGCACAGGTTTAAACACTTGAGTTGTTCAAGCAGAAGAAAGGATATCAGAGGTCAAAGTCCAACTTAATAAAATGAAACAAGAAGACAAGATTAGAGAACAAAGGATAAAAAGGAATGAGCAAAGTCTCCAAGAAATGTGGGACTATGTGAAAAGACCAAATTTACGTTTGATAGGTGTACCTGAATGTGACGGAGAGAATGAATCCAATCTGGAAAATACCCTTCAGGATATTATTCAGGAAAATTTTCCTAAACTAGCAAAGCAGGTCAATATTCAACCCCAGGTAATACAGAGAACACCACAAAGATATTCCTCAAGAAGAACAACCCCAAGGCACATAATCATTAGATTCACCAGGGTTGAAACGAAGGAGAAAATACTAAGGGCAGCTAGAGAGAAAGGTCAGGTTACCCACAAAGGGAAGCCTATCAGACTTACAGCAGATCTCTCAGCAGAAACTCTACAAGCCAGAAGAGAGTGGGGGCCAA